TCTCCGACTCAGCAGTTAAGAAAACAGGATGGTAGAAGTGGTAGAAATGGTATCGTGTTTGCGTGTGTTCGATGAGATTAATTAAAGCATATCATTTCTCGAAATGTTTTACGGAATATTTCAATATTTTTCTTATCTGATAAATAATTTACCGTGAAATATCTAATTTCGTTGAGGCATATAGTTTATTTTATATTTTTTATTTAATTCGATTATAAAAAGAAAAGATATTTGTCACGAGAAAAACAAATAAGAAGCGAAAGAGTCATAATTTTCATTTTAATATTATTTTTTTTAATAAATAAAAATATATGATATTATGATAATGATATCAAAAATTAAATTTGGACATTACAGTATCTTTGTTAAATTTTACTATCGTAACAAATTGTATGAGTATGAAACTATATAATCTGTACTACTTTTTACATACAGTACATAAAATGTAAACAATTTTTAACAGATAGAGACGTTAATGTACTCTCTCTTTCTTGTGTGATTGCGTCCCATCCTACCAAAATCTCGAAAGCATACCATTAACGATAACGCACTATCCTTTGGTCCAGTGTTTCTCAAATATATTTGCAATGTACATGATAAATGATATGAGAAAGATTTTAATTTAGCGATTTTAATTTTAAATTTTTAATTAATTTTTGTATATAATATATCGTTATTCATCCGATTTAATCGACCTCTCTTTTATTGCGATAATTCACACAACTCGATTTACACATCGATTTATTCAATTAAATTTAATTAAATAGGCAAAGCTAAATTTACTTCGTCGATGACAAAAGGAAAAACAAAACTGCTCGAACCGGTTAGTACTGCAAAAAGATCATGACCTAAACAATCGTTAGTAACTTAATAATGTTTACGCACCAACATTTGTTTTCTGGTTCTAATTAAATCTTCCTCTTATCGTTATATTTTGTCAGGTGATCAGCAATGCCATTTCATCGTGGAGACTGTATTTGAAAACTGAGACTCGTGCGGCTTCTCCAGGCTGGTTGTTTTGTTATACTCAGTGTCCTGAGGCTTGAATTCCGTGGTCGTGTGCGTGCCGGTCTAGCAAACTGTGCTCGATTCTCCGGGGTCAAATTGTTGAACCCACCCGGCGAGCATCCCGATCCTCACTGCCGCGCATGCGGCCTCCTGGTTGTCGGTCACCGACGAATCAGTCGGAAGCAAAGCCGACCGGAAGCGGAGCGGAACGTAGTCAAGCCGATCGCGATGACCTTCTGCCTTCCATGCGATTGGATTCGCGACGGGTTTGCAACAGGAGATCGGATACCGTTATCTGGAATTGCGCTGCCGTTCTATCCCTTTCGCCTCAAATTAGAAGCGCAATCGTATCTGCATCCAGGATTTCTACATCAAGACAAATAATCATCGTTAATACGCTAGACACGTTCGGATTAATTTCGGATAATATTTACAATCAGGTGACTTTCTTACGGAGACTCCTTGTCAAGCTGCTTAAGTCTCCTTACATCTCTTAAAAGTAATCGGACGATGTCTCGAAGATGTCTCATCTTCGATGCGCAAGGGAAAAAAAAAATAAAAAAAGTCATTCTCTCTTTGAGAAATTTTAAATCGCTCAGCTAGGCGCCTATAAATAAAACGCAGACATCTGAATGTCAAAATAGCTGAGACGGTTCGTCGAGAGCAGAGAGGGAGACACGTCGATTACATCTCGAGATATGCTAAGTTTATTCAAAGTGAATCGGCTGAAATTTTATGTTGTGTCTCTTCTGCGTTCCTGGTCCCAAAGATCTCCCGAGATTTCGGATACGTCTGATATATATCTGTAAACAAGACACGCTCTCTCCTTTCCTCTTCTTCCATTTTGTCTCTACAAAAACAACGATGAGAGATGAAAGTTGTGACACGTTTTAGTTCGATAAGCATCAAATTGTTCGTTTCGAGCGACTCTAATATTCTTTTTGCCAGAAGATTCAAATTCAAAATTTTACCTTGCGTCGTCTTGATGCGTCGCACTGGTTTAAATGCCATTTTTTTTCCATTTTCTTTCTTATTTTTACTTCCTCGAATAATGTAAAGTCTAGCAAACATAAAACAAAATAGCAAATAGAAAAGAAGATAAAATAATGGCAAGAGAAAATCGCGAAATAAAAAGTGGACGCGCGGTCGGTGTCAAAATTTGTTTTTTCATATGAAAATAACTACTCTTGCGATCGCTATTTCGACTATTAAATACAATTAATATTATCAATATTGCGTACGGTAAAAATAAAAGATTCAACGTCAATTTCATGCGGGCTCGAACTCAGCGCATCCATTCATTCCTCCACATTTAATATAAGATCGCAAGAGGAAAATTCTCTCGGGGAAAAAGAGATTTTCTTCTTAATTTTTGTCCCAAAAATCCAGAATTTCCCTTGGTCCTTCAACATTCCCCTAATCCTCTACAGGATTTTGCAGAACGAAATCGCGGCTTTTCTCTCCAGTCGTTCTCCAATCCGTTCTCCATCGGAAGCGCGCCGAGTGGCGCGGACATATCGATATCTCGCTCGAGGTAATATCGATAACGTTCTGGTGAACGCAAGGCGGCGCTTGTTCTTCCTCGGCAAAGGTTCAATAATCCAAAATAATCCACGCGCGCGTCGATCAATTCAGCGCGCGGCGTGTCGCGCATCCCCGTCATCGCGCGCATTGACGTTATCGGCGTTATCAGCCGGTCGATTATCGATCAATCTATCCATCGGGCGCATTGGTCGTCCTTGTGGCCTCGGCTCTCGCTTCCTCGCGCGAGATATTCGGCATTTCGCCGTTCCGAGGTGGCCGAGGAACAACGTGTCTGCCTGCCTACCTGCTCTTGTCTGCTCTGCGGCGGAGCTGCACCGTGCTGCACTTCCATCCTACTTGCACCTTCGACTACCTTCGACTACCTTCGATCCTTCTGCTCCTCCTCCTCCTCCTCCTCATTCTTTTTTCTCCAACGCACGTTCGCCGCGTGTCCTGGGGTGCAGAAAGTGTACGAGCGAATTGTAAAGTGCCGCCGCGAGAAAGAAAGACAGAAAGAGAAAGAAAGAGAAATCGGACGATCCCACCTGCGATTATTCCTGTGTCCTGCGATCCTGTCTGAGTCGTCTCTTCCTGAGACCGAATTTCTCTTCCTCCGCGATGGACATCGACGTCGAGACCTGTCTCAAGGATTGGAATGATCTAACGCAGGATTACAAGGAACTCGAGGTGAGATATATACGTCACGGGATGTGCGGCGACGAGCGAGCCGGATTTCGTCTCGCTGCGAGGAGGTTAGATCTTCCCGCATTACACGTCCGTAATCAGCGGATTCGAACTTGGAGCGGCGTGTAAAAAAAGAAAAAAGAAATCATCATTTCGGCGATTTCGCGAACGTCACGTGACGCTCGCATGACCTTGGCGATAAATCGATCACGCGCGAGCAATCTGGCGTATATTTTTTCAGTATTAATTACCGCTCTGATTGACGCATTTCATTACATTTTAATAACAGCGAATCATGCTGCAGAATTTTAATAACCGCGATAAATACAGCTCACACATGCATGACTGCGCATTTTGCCAATTATTGTGACGATTATTTCGGTAACTCATGCAACATAAGCAGAAATAATAAAATAAACATTAGGGCAACAGAACTGTTAATGTATAAAATAGAATATATTTGTGTGTAAATTACATGAAATGTAAGGATAAATCGATATTCGTGTTATTTTATAAATCTTAAGTATCTTATAAATATATATCTTATAAATATATATCTTATAAATATATAGCAATATAAAGAAGTAACATAATAGGAATAATAAAAAACTATTGATTGTTGTTAAGATTGTTGTTAGCTATGACTCACAAATCACTTACCTGTATGATTAAAGATCATCATTCATTAATTGATGAAGAGCTTGATAGTATACTGGTTATGTTCTAAAAATATTTTATTTGCTTACAGGCACTAAATAGAGAATATCTTATAAAATTAGAAGAGATTGGTGAACTTCAAGGAAAATGTGTCAAAGGTATTTCTCATCAAAAATATCGGATGGGTATAATATCCACATCATTGAAACAGTAAGTTCATATAATATCAGTTTGCATTTCTTTTAGAATAATTGATAATTTTTAAAAAGGTTGTTTCAGTATATTATTTAAAATAAATCAATTGATATTTTTATTGGAATTTATTGGAAATTTATTGGAAATAAAGTATTGGGAAATCTATAATTTGGGAATATTTATAATTATTTAAATTATATGTTATAATCTATATGATTTTTGTTTCCAGACTGAACACAAAAGAGGCTCGAGAAGAATTGGAAAAATCTATGACAAGGAGAGAACAGCAGCTTAGGGAGATTGAACAAACGTTACCTAAGTCAAATGGCATTTACTTACAAATTATTCTAGGCAGTGTCAATGTCTCCATATTAAACAAAAGCGATAAGTACGTTCTGATAGAAATAAAATCTGATAACTGACTTCTTGGAGAGATTTCATGATTATTTCAATTGTGTGCTTCCAGATTCAAATACAAAGATGAATATGAAAAATTCAAATTAGTGCTGTCAGTAATCGGATTTGTTCTGTCCGTATTAAATTTATTTACCAATATAAGGTAAGATCATTTATTATTTTAAAGCAACTATTATGTAAAACATATATATTTATTATAATTTTTATTGTACTTATGTTCCAGAACTTTAGAACTTAGTTTTATGTTTCTTCTTGTTTGGTACTACTGCACGTTAACGATAAGAGAAAGTATACTCAAGGTGAATGGTTCAAGAATTAAAGGATGGTGGAGATTTCATCACTTCCTCTCAACAGTGGTATCCGCTGTACTATTAGTCTGGCCAAACACAGGACCATGGTATCAGTTTCGTAACCAATTCATGTGGTTCAACGTGTATATCAGTAAGTGTTGCATAATTTGTAATAAAATGTTAAATATTTCATAGATAAATTTCTTAAACCTACATATAAAATTTATCATTTATAATACTTAACATTCAGCATAACATTCTTAATTGCACATAGCAATTATATCTTTGACTAAATAATACCTTCATTTTTTCAGGTGTAGTCCAGTATTTGCAATTTCGATATCAACGTGGAGTTTTGTACCGATTAAAAGCATTGGGCGAGAGAGATAATATGGACATCACTATTGAGGGATTTCATTCGTGGATGTGGCGCGGTCTTTCATTTTTACTACCATTCCTCTTCGCTGGTTATTTGTTTCAGCTTTATAATGCGTATACACTATACGAATTGTCATATCATCCGGAAGCGACATGGCATGTGTCAGTACTCAGTGCCATGTTTCTCGTATTATTTCTGGGTAATATCACCACCACTATCATGGTAATCCCACAGAAACTTGTCAAGGAACGTGTCAAGGATCATTTGTTTGCATCTAAGCCCGATCGCAGAAAGGAGGGAAACATATGCAATAAGGATAATACAAATGAAAAGAGTGAATGAAGGAAGAACTCGAGTACTTCTGTCTAATAAAAGATTCGACTCAATTAATATAAATTGGGAAGAATCATAAAGAAGACAAGATGACTGTAAAATGGTATTGGTGCTGGATCTAAAATATAACAAACAATAATTTGCTTGTTACATTGAGCAAAGATTAATTAATAATACACATAACACATGACGCGAGTGACTGACTACAAGTGAAGAAGTTTCTGCGTATTTTTATTTACTTTTACTCTTGGATAAAGTCCAATGTCAAGTGTTTTCGAGAATATTTTTGGCCTGAACTTGTCTGATTTCAACAGACAAGATTATGCGACAAATTTGACTAATTACTTGTTTTAAGGAAAAAAATATAAAATGTTATTTTCTTTATAAAATTTAAAGATAAATTTGCTATATGTAAATAGATTCAAATAAATTTGTTTATTTGAAATTAATTATATATTATAATGTTTTAGTATTTTATTTTTTTAAAAAGATGTTTGTTATTTTAAGTCCCTGATTACTTGATAATTATTAAATGTATCAATAATTTTAAGCAAAGAAAAATCGATACTAAAGTGATCAACGAATCGTCAGAATTTATTTTGTTTCATTTTTAAGCATTTTGCATATCTTTAGTGAATTAATAACATCTACTTGATATTATGGTTTGATTACGACGTAATATGACGCGCAAACATTGACGCAAACAAATTGCGTTCGATAAACGGTCAGCTAATCTATTCACGAAGAATTTATATATGTAGTATGTATGTATGTATGTATGTATGTATGTATGTATGTATGTATGTATGTATGTATGTATGTATGTATGTATGTATGTATGTATGTATGTATGTATGTATGTATGTATGTATGTATGTATGTATGTATGTATGTATGTATGTATGTATGTATGTATGTATGTATGTATGTATGTATGTATGTATGTATGTATGTA